AGTGACTTACCCAAGGTCACAAGGATAGTGTCAGAGGTAGGATTTGAACAAATCTTCCAACTACAGAGCCAGTACTCTTTACGCTGCCTTCCTGTATAGCCTGGGGTACAGAAAGAACTAGCAGGTGTGATCCTAAAAAGTGTTTTTTGAAATGTTACAGAGAGTTAGTGATGTTCTGTACAACTGATAAAAGGAATATATATATATATATAACATATATACACACACACATACATATGCATATTTAAAAGGGAAAAGAATAGAGTCTGCACACTATAGGACAACGAGCTTGACTTTGCTGGGAAAATTCTAGCATAGATTATGAAAGGGATGGTTGGTGATTACTTAGAAAAGGAAGCAGTGATCACAAAAACCAATATGACTTCAAGAACATTTCATAGAATTACAGAATTTCAGAATTAGAAGGAAACTCAGTGGTCATCTAGTCTAACTTAACCTAGAACAAGAATCCCCTTTATGACCTACCTAAGGAGTCATCTGATTTGCTAAAAGTGCAACGAGGAGATGATTTGGGGCACTCCACTGGAGACCTTCTTCCAAGATGGCATTGAACTGATAATGACAACTCTTTGGGTCCAGCCATTCATCCAATTCCAAAGTCATGTAGTCATACTATTATATAGTCCATGTCTCTTCATCTTATCTGTAAGAATATCATTAGAGGGGCAGCTAGGTGGCACAGTAGATAGGGTGCCTGCCCTGGAGTCAGGAGGACCTGAGTTCAAATCTGGCCTCAGACATGTAACACTCACTAGCTGTGTGACTCTGGGCAAGTCACTTAACCTTAATTACCTCATATTAAAAAAAAGAATATCATTGGAAATTTTATGAAATGCTTTGATAAAATCTAGGTGAATTATATTTGCAGCATAACACTGATCTTTCAGTTAAGTAACGCTGTTAAAAAAGAAAACAAGGTTAGTCTATATGACTTCTTGGTGAAACCGTACTGGATCCCTGTGATTACTGATTCATTTTTGGGATGTTCATTAACTAGCTCTTTAATAAGAGCGGAGAGATGACCTCAAATGTAGATTGGCAGCTAGAGTGACCAGTTTTGGAAGTTTCCCCCTAATATGAATGCACCCCATATACACACACATGAGCTCAGTAGGATGAAAGACAGTTGATTGAACACCTAAGAGCTTTTTCAGGATCTCCATCTCCTAGCATCTTGACTCTAGTTTTGTTCCACTAGGTCTAGAGTTTAAAATGTAAGACATTTGCATACAATGTACGAAAAATTTAATCATAAACTGACTCATTTGCCTCCATTAAGCTTTTAAGCTTTGGGAAAACCTCACAAAATAGGAGGGACCTATGTTCCATTCAGTTGGATGTCAGGAGGTCAATCCAGCCTTCACACCAGCCAGTGAGGTTTGGGAAAGCTGCCTACTTTGGTTAACCAGTCTAGACTCATCATGTCCTCCTGGGTCCTGATTGTTTGCTCCCCAGGACCGGGGTTCCTTGTACTCTGTTCCCTATGCCATCTCCTACTCTAATCTCCACTCTCTTAGTGCTGCTTCCTAGGGCAACAGTAATCATCCACATGTGACATCAATGTGATATCCCTAGAACCTTCTCTTTCTATTTGAAAGAGCCCCCACATTCACAGGGAAATAGGCACTGAACATATTGTGGCCATATCATTTATCAAATGTAGAAAAAATAAAAGGAAAAATGTTAAGCGCTCCTATGTGGAGCCTTCCACTCCTTGCAATTCCCTACATTCTTTCCTCTCCTGTTCTTATATCTTCAGGCATGCGATTCCTGAATCTTATTCATCTGCAGCTTGTGGAATGAGGAAAAAGTATGTACATTTAGGACTCCATATTCAGGTCATGGAGTATAAAAAAAGACAATGAAAGACAGAAAAACATGTCTCCCTGCTTTTGGCTCACTAAACCACTAAGGTTTAAAATAGCTGACACACTTAAGTATTTGGGCCTGTCTCTCTTCCTTATACTTCGATCGCTACATATGCTCCAGAGTCTCAGCCATGGCCCCATAGTGCTGGTTATGTCCTTTCCTACAGTCCAAGTCACTGGCAGACGGTCTTAGTTTGCTTCAGCCTCTCAGTCCCCATCTCTCAAGTTAGCTGTTACAGGCAGTGCAATGGATACAGAGCCCAGTCTGGAGTCAGGAAGATTCTTCTTCACGAGTTCAAATCTGGCCTCAGACACTTACCACCTGTGTGACCCTGGGCAAGTCACTTAATGTTGTCTGCCTCAGTTTCCCTATCTGTAAACTGATCTGGAAAAGGACATGACAATCCACTCTAGAATCTCTGTCAAGAAAATCTCAAATGGGGTTACAAAGAGGTGGACAAGACTAAACAGCAGCAGCACTCAATCAGTGAGCAGGAATCCTGACCAACTCTTTGCTCCCCATTCCCAGCAGAGGAACCAGGACAATGGAAGAAAAAAGAACCCTAGACTGACATGCTAATGCGCAAATTCCATCCCCTCTAACCTAGTGCAGGATTTTCTGTCTCAAAATGTTTCTCCCTCTGTGGCAACTTCCAAGATCAGCTTCCTTCAGCTCCGCCCCTCCCCACATGAAACAGTAGTACATTAGCTCGGGTTAGAGTTGCCTATCAACTACTTAGAAGGTCCCTAATGGAGTGCCTCAGGGATTTATCTGTACTTGACCTTGTGCCTTCTGACATTTTTTCATGGACCTTGATACCGGGATAGATGGTACGTTTACTAAATTTGGAGATAACAAAGCTAGGAGAGATAGCTAACTTTCTGAATAACAGTCACAATCTAAAAACAGAACAAAAACTTAACAAGTTATAACATTGGGCTGAATCTAAGATGAAATTTAATAGGGATATGCAGTCTTACATGTAAGATTAAAAAAAAAAAGATGACCTTTTACAAATACAAGATGAGGGGAAAACACGGCTAGATAATCACTCATCTGAAAAATATTTTGGGGTTTTAGTGGGTTACAAACTCCATATGAGTCAGCAGGATAGAATGACATGATAGCAGAAAAAAAGCTTATTCAGTCTTAGGCTGCAGAAAGAGAGATATAGGGTTCAAGAGTAAGGAGGAAATCTTCTCCCCTCCCCCATTTCCACCATGGTCCATAATTTTGTGTTCAGTTCTAGGGTGTTTTTGAGAAAGACATGGATAAACTGGAGATTATCTAGAGAAGGGCAGTCAAGTTGATGTTCTTATAGTACAAAGAGTCTTGGATTTGGAATCAGAAGACCTGGGTTCAAATCCTGTCTCTGACAGTTACTACTTCTGTGACATCAGACAAGTCACCTAAGCTCTCTGGACCTCAGTTTCCTCCTCTGTAAAATGAGGGTGGCTGGTCTAGCTTGTCTCCAAAATTCCTGTGTCATATAAGCAAGCATCTGAAAGGAACATGGGATATTTAAATTGGAGGAGAGAAGATCTCTTTGGTAAAAAGTATTCCAGGGTTTATCCCATGGAAAAGAAGTTAGTTTATTCTGCTTGGTCTCAGAAGACAGAACTAGGGCTGATGGGTGGATATTGAAGAGAGTAAGATTTAGGTTTGGTGTGAGAGAAAACTTAGAGATAAGGAAAGTGAAATGGGTTTCTTTGGGAGATGGTGAGTTTCCCAGAGTTCTCTTACAGAAGGGATTAGTGTTGAAGTAATGGTTGGATTAGATGGCTTCTGAGGTCTTTCAGCTCTCAGATCCTGTGTAGTTTGTAACACTCCAAGACGAACAATAACGCTCTGAGGTACCCAGAAATGGAACCCCGAGCAATGCAGGTAAAGAGTTATCTCCACAGGTAGTGAGCTCCCTGTCCCTAGATGTATGTATGTAAATGTTTGTGGTAGGTGGCTAGATGACCCAAGGGTCAACCAGTCAGTTGGTTTCCTCCTCTATAAAATGGGGATAATAATAGTGCCCACCTCCCAGGATTATTGTAAGGATCCAATCCAATCCAATAAACATTTATTAAGCGCCTGCTATGTTTCAAGTACTGTGCTAAGGGATGGAGATACAATTAATAAAAAGAAAGACAATCCCTGTTCTCAAGGAGCTTACAATCTAAAGGGGAAGACAACACACAAAAGGAGGCAGGAAAGGGGGGAGGGAGAGAAGGGGAAGAATAGGATGCCTTGGAGAGCAAGACCAGGCACTGATCAAATGAGATAATAATTGTAGAGCACTTTGCCCACTGCCTGGCATATAGCACTGTATAGATGTTAGCTATTATTACTTGGGGGCAGCTAGGTGGCACAGTAAATAGAGCGTTGGGCCTGAAGTCAGGGAGACCTGAGTTCAAATCCTGCCATGGACTTGTACTGTGTGACCCTGGGCAAGTCACTTAACCCTGTTTGCCTTAGTTTCCTCATCTGTAAAATGAGCTGGAGAAGGAAATAGCGAACCACTTCTGTATCTTTGCCAAGAAAACCCCAAATGGGGTCCAAAGAGTCAGATACAACTGAACAACAAACAATATTGTTGATGATGTTGACTCATTGATTAAGTGCCTACTGTCCCCTGGCAGTTGGGTGGCTCAGTGGATAGCATCGGGGCCAGAAGTCAGGAAGACGTGAGTTCAAATCCTGCCTCAGACACGTACCACCTGTGTGACCCTGGGCAAGTCACTTAACCCTGTTTGTCTTAATCCATTAAAACCACTCCAGGATCTTTACCAAGAAAACCCTACGGACAGTGTTACGGTCCAGGGGGTCACGAAGAGGCGTTCACAACTGAACCACTGGATCCTGTGCCCCATCTGGGAGGCGTGTGTGCCCTGGACTGGACACTTAGGGGATGCGTAGCCCCGGCATGCAGGGAGCGGACGCCGAGCCCTTACAGTGCCCAGCCTTTCAAAATTCACCCACGTGGGGGGCCCAGGAGGGCAGGAAGAATGCGGCCCCACCCCTTTCTATTGCTCTCCCCATTGGCCGCGGAGGAGGCGGGCCTCCCTAGGGGATATCCAATCAGCGGTCTCCGGCGGCGCAGGCGGCGGCGGATCACGTGGGCCCCACCCGGTGGTCCCGGAAGGAGCGGCCGCTGGAGCCCGAGGCCCGGAGCTGGAGGCAGGTGAGCTACCTCCCCTGGTGGGGACGTCGGGCGGGGCTCCCGCAGTGGAGGGTCCGGAAGAGCTGGGCCCGGGTGGAGAAGGGAGGGACCTCTCCTCAGCCTCCGTGGATCTCTAAGCACGCGCCCAGGGCCTGGGCCTCAGCCTCCCGCAGATGCACGAAGTGGGGTGGACTCCGGAGGGAGAACCTGCTACAGAAGCTGCTGTAGCTCCCTCGTCCTGCCCTCGGCCCGTCCAGCCGTCCGTGCCATCCCAGGAGGAGGCTGAGGGCACGGTCCTTTGGGGGAGCTGGACCTGGGAGGAGTCGCTGGGGAGGAGGGGAAGGGCCCGGCGGAGACGCAGAGAGGAGGCCGTTGGGTGCTTGGGATCTGATGGTGCCGTTGGATAGAGTTACGGGAATCCGGGGGGGAAGGGTGGGCCGAGGCGAGAAGGTGAGTTCAGTTTTAGGGGCCACTGAAGGAGAATCCCCTTTGTGACCGAGAGGTCAGCTACTTTCCCCCAAGTTCAATGAGAAGGCTTGGGGCGCTCCCCTGGAGACCTCCTTCCAAGGTGCCATGGAACATTAGTGACAGCTCTTTGGGTCCAGCCATTCATCCAGTTCCAGAGTCATGTGGTCGTGCCATGACTATCATACCACAGGAAACTTGGCAGGAGGGGTGGGTTTAGGGGAGAAGATGAGTTCAGTTCTAGATGAATTGAGTTTGTCTTGAATCCAAGGATGTCAACAGGACATCCCAGATGGAGTTTTCCCCCCACGAAGTTGGAGATTCAAGTTAGGGGAGAGATGAGAATTGGATACGTGGGCAGATTTTAGACTAACAGTAATAGAGGTTATCATAGAAGCTGTTGGGTGGGAGTGATTGAGATCACCAAGGGAGAGTATAGGGATCAAAGAGGCAACATTTCCTAGAAGAAAGAGTTTACTGAATCAAGTGTAAGAACTGAATTGAGTTTCAGACTCTCTGGCTTACCTCCAGCTGGTCATTTGTTTGACTTCTCTGAGCCTCAGTTTCTCCATTTGTAAAATGAAGGGGTTGAACAAGGTGATCAATCTCTAAGGATGAAGACTGAACCTTGGGGCATACTCAGGTTTAAGGATGATTCTGCCAAAGAGCCAAATAAAGATCAATCGAAGAGCTAGGTTCCCCAGAAGCCAAAGGAAAAGACAGTCTAGGTCTAAGAGGAGTGGGTAGTCAGTTTTCAAAGTCATGTGATGCAGAAATGTCTAAGAGAATGAGGACAGGGAAATGGTCATTACTTTTGTAAATTAGGAGGTCACTGGTGATTTTAAAACAATTACCTTAGAGTTGGAAACTGTCATTTGTCTTTCTTTCTTGAAGAGGACCATGACATCAGGAAGGTGACGCCATGACTTGCAAGTGAATTGGATTTAAGTGAGGGAGGGCTGGGCACTCTGGAGCCATCTGGGTACGGTGTCATGGTATAGATCAGGACAGTTGGAGATGGCCCCGGATGCAGTGGGAGACCTTGGCCTTTTTAAGCTAAGTCTTTCCCAGGTCTCAGTTTGACTGAGGCAACTCCAATTCAGTGATTAAGGCAAAGGTAAGAAATGAGGCAAAAAATGGCCTCTTTTACCTAGTCCCCCTCCCAAAAAAAAATCAGTCTGGAGGGGAAGACCATCAAGGTTTCTGGCCAAAATGGAAACAATTGTTATTTACTTTCACTCTGAGCCAAATAAGAAGCAAATGAGTGGCTGGTGACACAGTGAATAAAAAGTGTTGGTATCAAGCATAGGTGACTTTCTAGGATTTTATCTGTAAAAGAGAGGAACAGTACAGCATTTGACCTTTGACCATGTTCTCCTCTGACTGCCTTTAAGCTCTGTCTGGGGCCCTCATCTCTTTTCTCTCTTAACTTTCTCACTTGGTGATCTCTGTCACTTATGTAGATGATTCCCAAATCCACCTCTCTGGCCCAAATCTCTCTCCTGAACTTTAGTCCAGCATCACTAACTGCCTGGTGGACATTTCGAACAGGATGTCTGGAAGACATCTCAAACTCAACAAGCCCAAAACAGAACTTCTCACTCCTGTCAAGGGGATCACCATCCTTCTGGGCACCCACATTTGTAAGCTTGGTATCATGCTCAGCTCTTCTCTCTCCTTCACCCTACATATTCAGTCACTTGCCAGATCTTGGCATTTCTTTCTCTACCACACCTCTGGGAGATGTTCCCCTTTCTTCACACACGGTGGCAGGGGGCCACTTGGACCAGAACTGTCAGACATGTGGACAACCCTCTCAGGTACCACCCAAACCAGATTACAATACAATCAGGACATATTTAACAAAATAAATACAAAGACAACAAAACAGATAATATTACTTAAAATTAAGGCAATCTGCAGCCATCAAGGATCCTAATGGATGGTTTAGTGGCCCTGTTTCACCTATTGAAACCGGCCTAACCTATTGCAATATCTCCTAATTGGTTTCTGTGCCCTAAATCTCTCCCCACTCCAATCCATTTTCCACTCAACTACTAAAGTGATTTTCTTAAATCACACATTTACCATGTGACCCCTCCTCTCCACGATCCCCACTCACTAAACTCCAGTGGGTCCCTTTTACCTCCAGGATCCAATCAGAAGTCCTTTGTTCAGCATTTCAAGCGCTTCCCAACCCTTCCTTCCTGCCTTTCCAGTCTTCTTCAGTGTACTAGACTTGGCCTCCTTGCTCCTTCTCACATATGACCCTTCATTTCCTGACTCTGGGGCTTTGCACTGACTGTTCCCCGTCCCTGGAATGCTGCCTTTCTCCACCTCTGACTTTGAGGATCTCTGGCTTTCTTTACAATGCCTCCTTCTCCAGGGAAGTCTTTCTGGGTGTCCCCAGCAACTCGGGCCATCCCCTCTGAGGCTTCCTTCCATATACTCTGTCTTTCTCTTGTGTGGTCTGATTTGTGTGTTTTATAAATTAGCATGTGAGCTGCTTGAGGGAAGGGACTGTTTTTGAAGACCTCAACATACCCAGCATTTAGCACAGTCTCTGGCTAGTAATCAAAGGAAGGGCTTGTTTTAGCTTGTTTTTAGGATTAGGGAGACCCGAATGGAAGAAAGCAGTATCTGGGGAGAGACTGAAGGTGAGGACTAATTGGTGGGCCAAGCTCCTGGAGGAGATAGCTTCAGGGGTCCCAGGGGAGGGCTGCCCCTACTCTCTCTGGGCTCACTCTCCCTTTCATCAGGCTTATTCAGACCAGGTCATAAGCTGATAGATGTGAAATTGGAGGAAATGTCAGGGTCGTCTGGGCTGACCCTCTCCTTTTTCAAAGCCTGTGGAGGTTGTGAGTTACTCAGGATCACACAGATAGGAAGCGGCAGAGTTCACATTTGAACCCAGACCCTCTGACCTGGAGGCTGGAATCTTTAACCTGCCTCATAATGTATGTGAATACCAAGTCTCTGCTTTTCTGTCAGTATTGTTCATGAGAGAAAAGGGAATGCTGAGGCAGAAGTAAATCCCCAGTTCGTTCAACAACTGTTTATTGAGGGACTGTTATTAGTGCTTGGGATACAAAACCCAAATGGAACCGTCCTTGTCCTCTGTTTACAAATAAAGACATAGAAGGTTATTTGTAGAGAGAGAAAGCACTAACAGTGTGTGTGGGGGGAGGTCATGGAGAAAATCAAGGAAGGCTCCGTGGAGGGAGAGGGGGCACCTGAGCTGAGCTCGGAAGGACAATCTGGATCCTGATACAAGCAGATGGAGTGTTGAGTTTGGGGAACCGTGTGTGTGACCAGACAGTGGAGTCTTGAAATAAGGCAGGAAGAAGAGGTCCGAACCAACTCGGGGAGGGTTAAGTGCCAGGCTGAAGAGAGGCAGGAGGGAGCTCCTGAAGGTTTGGGGGGAGGGCAAAGCTGATGTTGGCAGCTTTGTGGAAGATGATTGGAATTGGGAGATCTATTTCAGTTGCCAGATGAGAGGTTGTGGGGAGGCCGAAGGGGAGATAGCAGGCACTGGCCAGGCCAGATTGGGCCCTCCTGATTTCCTGATTCATCTTGTCTAACTCCAGCCTCTGCCTGGAGGGAGGACCTGCCCGCTGGCCTGGAAGTCGTTACAGTTGTCGTCTTCACTTCATCAGGACTGCTTGATTTCAGAGGGTGCTCCAGCCTCAGCCGTCCTCATCTTGGCCTTGACTCAGCACCCCCCTCCACACTCCCACGAATGAGAATAAAAGGGGATATTTTATTCAAGGAAACAGGAACAGGTAAAAGTTTACCAATCTCATTGGAGACATAAAGCCTTCTGAACCCTACAATGTGTTTGCCCTGCAGCAGGCCCCTTAGCTTCCTTGGGCCAGTCTGAAATGGAAGGAGCATTTGGGTGAGTTAGGAAGCTGGGACTTGAACCCAGTGCCCTGATTTTGGGGTATGGTGAACCCTGAGCACCTGCAGGTATGGCATGACCTAGCCCTCTTCTGGTCCCTCTCACCTCTGCAGGCTTGGACGGAGGGATGGACGACAGGGCCACAGACCTCGCTGATGGCGGTGGGGGTCTTCATGTGCAAGTACGGCCAATGGCCTCAGGAGATGAGGCCGCCCTCCGGGAGCTCTTGGCGGTGGTGGCGGCAGAGCTGGGCTCAGCCCTCGGAGCCCGGATGCTGCGGCGGCCATGGTTCCTACTGCTACTAGCATGTGGCTTTGCATTCCTGGCAGCCTCCTCCCACTCCCTGTTGCTTCCCTTGCTGGTCCTGGCGCTGCTCCTGGCTGTTGGCCGCCCCGCATTGGCCCATGTTTGGGCTCTCTATGCCCACCAAGACATGAGTCTTGGTCTGGGGGCTCCAGGGGCCACAGACTTTCGATTCTGGGTGGCTGAGGACACGGATGGCAGCGTGGTGGGTATGGTGGGTTTGTCAGGGTTTGGGAAAAGTGGAGATGGGGAGTTGGAGCTGAGGTCTCTGGCTGTGGGCCAAGAGCATCGGGGTCATGGGGTGGGCAGGGCCCTGTGCCAGGCTGTGCTGGCCTTTGCCTGTGGCTACCCTGGCTGCCAGGTCGTGGTGCTGGACACACATATGCTCCATAGTTCTGCCCAGAGGCTCTTCTCCAGCCTTGGCTTCCATCCAGGCCCTGCATGCTTGCAGCCCACACTTAGTGGATTCCTGGCCGACCTCCCTGTCACTCGCTACCACTATGCCCTGACTGGCAGCAACACAGAAGAGCACAGCCCAAGGGATGAGGAGTAAACTTCTACTTGTCAGCCAGGGGATTGAGCCTCCATCAGCCCAGAGACTGAGCCTCCCACCCACCATCTGCCAGCCCAGAGATGCCTCTGTGCTGAGGCTCCTGGCGATGGGGGGTCCTTATGGCAGCTCAGCAGCCTGGAGACACGGTTGGTGAGCCTGTAATGGGCAGGCACTGGAGCTGTGAGGTGGGAGGATGACTGTGGGGGCTAGAGGTGGTGATGGGTGAGGATCAGGCTCAGATAGGTTTCCCGGGAACAACTTTCAGGGGCCTGAGCTGAGAAACCATAGGGAGCTGGAGGGGGCATTCTGCTCCATCTGGCATCTGAAAGAGGACACAAAGGAATTCCAGCTATCTGCAGGGCAGCTGGGATGGTCATCAGGCCATACGAGGTTTGGCTGAAAGAACCTAATAGTCAGAGCTGCCCCCAGATGGGATGGGCTGCCTGGGGAGAGAATGGATTCACCATTGCTGAGGGGCTTCAGATGAAGGCTGAATGAGCACTCGTCAGAGGAGTTAAGGGGGTGGGCGGATGGGGCAGAATTCCTGCCCAAGAAGGTGTTGGATGAGTTGCCCTCTCAGCTTTTTCCTGATTCTCAGATTCTGGGGCTAGGGAGGCTGATCTTGTACCTAGCACATAGACATTAAATAAACACTTGTTGGATTGGGGTTTGGACAGGGCCAGAAAATAAAACTATTCCCCACCCTGCTCAGCTCCGGCTTTCTCTGTGGGAGACTTTTCAGAGGATCATTAGAGATGAAGGAGCGCATCTGGTGCCTCCCTTCTCTTAGAGAAGTTGGATCTGGTTGTGCCCACATCATTGCCCCTGCCCCATCTTCCCATCTAGGCTGCCAAGCGTGGACCTGTAAAGCACCCAGTCTTGGGTCTTCAGTCTCACTGAGTGGAACCTGTTCCCAGGGATCCTCCTGTAGGGTCGTCCTGGGGACCGTTGCTCAGGGCTTTTACCTTTCCCAGCTAAACTTTTCTGATCTGTGGGCTCTCACCCACTCCAACCCCGAAGGCTGCCTGGCTCCCTGGGCTTCCTGAGGGGACCTGCTGTGGTGGAAAGAGCGTGAAATTTGGAGTCGACCCTAATAATGGCGAGGGAGCTTTGGACCCTGCCCCCGGGAGGCATCTCAGATTCTCGTTGGATTGAAGATCGTAACATTTCACCAGCCGGCTCACCGCTCAGGGCCTCTGTCAGAATGAGGTCTTGTTAGACCTACCCTGTCCAGAGCCAACTTGGCACACCTTGAGCAAAGTGCTTTGTAAGTCAGTTAGCAAGCATTTGTCGTATGCCGGCAACTGTGCTGGGTGCTGGGGGTGCAGACAGAGTGGAACAGAAGCCTCAGTGCCAGAGGAGTGGACATTCTGCTTGTTGGTGTGTCCTTTATAATCACAGGCTGCTGCCATCTCCTGGTGCCTGATTCTAACATTGCCATCTTTTTTTCCCTTCTCTCTCCTGTCGCTGGCTCCTCCTGACAATCTAGGCATTTCCTATGATTTATTTCTTAGAGAATAGACTCAGGAATAATATATCAGGGGTAAGTCATTAGATGTAAATCATAGGTAAACAAATTTCCCACCCCAGGCTGAGCAGCTCCTAAGTTCTGGTCCAGGGGCTCTTCCCAGCCTTGCAGCACTCCAGAGGTCACCTACTCCCTTCCCTACCTCAGGCAAGAGAGAATGGGCAAGTCACCTCATCTCCCAGAAGGCTGCAGGCATCGGCCAGATTTGGCCTGATGGGCTGAGCTCTTTGATCCAATCAGAAATATTGGGCATCCTCCTAGCCAGTCAGGGAGTCTTGCCTCCCTGTTCATCTCTCCTTCCGTGGGAAGCCCTGTCCATCTCTGGACCTAGCCATTACAGGCCTGGGAAGGGGGCTGGAGTTCCCGCAGGCCTGTGAGTTCCGGGTCTTGTCCCTGACCCATGTCCCTGACCCTGCCCAGGCTCCAGTGGCTCTGGGTGGGGCGCACATTGAATCGAGCTGGCTCTGGGCCCCTGGGATGATCCCGGGAAAATGTCACAGAGCCAGGTCAGGAGAAGGGACATGGGAGTACAAACGGGGGAGGGAGTCTGTGAAGTAAGCCTGCCTCTGTTCATTCCAGTTTATGTCCTTGTTTGTGCAGCGGTAGTGGTGGTGATAGTCATGGGAGGCAGAGTAGGAAGTGAGACCCACAAGCCCACCTGGCAGGCCCTTAGGACCTGAGGCGGAGGGTCCTAAACTGAAATTTGGCGTGTGTGTTTTGATAGGACCACTGAAGAGTGACCCTTCTGAGACCTCTAGAAAAGGCTGTTCAGTGCGGAATCTTTTCCTACTGCATGATTCCTGATTCTGTAATTTTCTTTTTCCTTGTAAATAAATCCTAGAAAATTTTTTTTTTGTGGACTGGAGTATGTGGCGATGAGGGAGGGGGAATGGAAAGTTGGCTGAGACCTTGCTTGGGCTCCAAGAAGACAGCAGTATCTGTAGATCAAACCACATAGGAAGGGTCTCCAGGTCAGGCAAGCTCAGGGACCAGGAGGGGCAGGGAGCTCGGAGCCTAAAGGAGGGCTCAGCCAATAGGGAAATCAAGGCAGGGGCAAAAGTTGAAAGCCCTGAAGCTGAGGGCAAAGATCCAGTTGATTCAAAAAAGCCCTGAGAAGCTAGCTGTGAAGCCTGAGACCCTGGGTCTAGGCTCCTTCCTCCTCTTCTTTAGCCAGAGACTTTCCTTTTTTGTTCCCCATCTCCTCCAGCAGGGGTACATTCATCTGCTCTGCTGCCCCTCCCTCTCTGGTGGCACGGCTAGCCACCAGATCCTGCTGAGGACAGTTAGTAGTTCTGGGGACCAGGCCAGGTTGGGGTTCAGATGGTTCCTGGCCATCAGCCCTGTCTCTCAGCAGTTTGGGCCCCTTCCTCCTCTCCCTGTTTCTCTCTGTGTCTCTGAGTCTCTGACTCTCCCTGGGTCTCTCCCGGCACAGATGGCAGACCTCCTCTGGCTCTCACCTTCCTTAGCAGCTCCCAAACTGTAGGATTTGTTTCCCCAAACTGTTGGCTTTGCATAATGGGCCTTATGCTCCAAACTGTGCAGAGCGCCCCTCCCAGAGCCACAGAGACAGTGGAGGAATATGGCCGCCATTTCTCTTTCATGCCTTTGGTGTGATTGAGGCCACATGTAGGAATCTGTTCAGTCCCTCCCCCTTCCCCTCTTTGGTCACTCTGGGTAGTGCCAAGGATCCTCTTTCATGTTTCCCTTCTTTTCCTGACTCAGCTTGGGTAGAGAACTACTGCACGAAGGTGTTTAGGATACCCTTTACTTTTGCCCCTTGGGGACATGCTGCCAGGGGGCCTTGTGAATACCGTGCTGGATTTGGAGTCAGGAAGATCTGTGTTCAAATCCTGCCTCAGACATTTACTAGCTGTGTGACCCTGGATGAGTCATTTAAGTGGTCTGCCTCGGTTTTCTTGTTTCTAAAATGAATGTAATAATGGCACCAATGTTCTAGGGTTGTTATGAGAATCCAATGGGATAATCTATGTAAAGGGCTTTGTAAACCTGAAAGTACTGTATAAAATATACTAATTATTAAAGTTCAGTTCAAAAACAGAGTTCCCTGTATTTAACAACCAACCATTTCTTTGCCTTTCACTTTGCTGTTGGGAGTCTGGAACCATATCCTGTCACCCACTTGCACAGATGATTGGTTGTGGAGTAAGGAGAAAGAAGGGGCCAACAGCAGATAAGAGCCTGGCCCCTGAGGCCTGAGCCGAGGACTCTGCTTGGGCCCTGCAGGCCTCTCCCAGGATTACAAATGACCTTCACCTTCTCAAGGCTTCATCTGCTGCCCTGGCCTGCCTGGCTGAGCACTTTGTTAGAAGCATAGAACTCAGTCTGAGCCAGGAGGAAAAAATGGCAGCAAAGAAAAATCTGGGAATTCAAGTGGATCTCAAACTACACGTAAGTCGGCAGTGATGCATAGATATTTAAAAAAAAAAACCAAAAAACCAGCAAGACACCCAGGAACCCTGAGGCAAATGAGACCTTCCATCCCCAGCCCAAAGCCTCCTGGCTTTATTAGAGCTGTGGGGAAGGGTCAGGAAATGGCAGACCAAGTCCAGGTATCTATCTCTGGGGGACAATGACCTATGGAAGGCATGAACTGGAGGCAGAAGGGGCATCAGTATCTCCATTTATTGTTTCATTTCTCCCAAACCCCCTCCCGGACCAAATGACCAAAGCTGGACTCTGAGCTGCCAGCCAGGGAAAGGGGGAGGGCAGCACAGGCCCTTGGGAGATGAGGGGAGCTGGTGGGCTGGGGAGAAGGAAGGGCCACCAGGAGAAGAGACAATAGGAGACACAGAGACAATGAGAGCAACCCCCAGGGAGGCCTCGAAGGGGAGGAAGGCTGCAAGGGGAGGAAGGCAGGCCCCTGGGCCGGAGCCTTAGCCTGCTACAAGGGGATGTACTTTGGGAGCCTCAAGGATGGGGGTGGAGGGAGGTAGGAAAAGGGCATTGGTAAGAGAGTTTCAGAATCGGGTGGATCACTCCACAGCTCCTAGGAGCTTGTTCCATGGGCCTAAAGGGACAAATCTCCTAGAGTTGCTGGTGGCCTTTCCCAGAACTCAGGAGGAAGGATCTGGAACCTTGGCTTTGTCCCTGGTTGGGGAAGCCAGGAAGCCAGCATCGTGCGTGAAGTGGGGTTGGCCTTGAGGAGCAAGCCAGAAGGAGGATGCTTGCTGGGCCACAGGCCTGGGAAATGGAGTCACACAGATTGGTCCTACAGTAATGCTCCTATTCCTGCCTTAAAGCTGCACCCTGTGGGGGAACTGGGATCTTCATCCAACCCCCTCCCTGACCCCACCTTCCCCTGGCCTGGCATGTCTCCCCCAGTACCTGCCCCTATCTCCTGTGGCTCTTGGCCCAATCCTTTCCCCAAGTCTTTACCTCCCAACCAGAACCAGGCAGGCAGACCCCGCTTCCCAGGAAAAGCTGTCCAGGCCAGACATGTTGGAGGCATCAGGCAAGGGCAGGGTGGTGAATCCTCCCAGGGAGTGGGAGGCAGTGCTCCATAGACACCAGATCGTCTTCCCTGAGCATTCTAGAGGGCAGGACCTTTCACCCGAACCCCTGCCCCCCCAACCCATCCCCAGGACCCCCCTCCCACACCAAGCTTATAATGGGAAAAGTTTGGGGGGATCAGTCCCCCCCTAGAACCACACGCACACACATACATATGTACATATGTACACACACACCCATACACACATACATACATACATACATACACCCAAGTTAAAATGGTGCTGTGAAGAGAGAAGCCTCCTGTGGCCAGTCCTGAGAGTGGAAGGGAGAAGAGAAAAGGGCTGCAGAGGGATAGGGCCCAGGCTCCCAAAGCACAGAAGGTGGCGTCTCTCCCATGGCCAGCAGGAAGTCCTCTTCCAGGTCATCCCAGTCCACCGGCCTGCCAGTCCCCAGGGTCTCTCTCCAATGGCTGGGTTGTTCTCTTTGTGTGGGCCTCACATGGGGGGGATGAGGAGTCCAGACATGGCTAGGGAGAGGGAGAGAAAAGTCCAAGAAAGCAAGGGGTCCTCCTATAGCTCCACTCCTCCCCCCTCCTGACCTTCCCTCACATCTCATCCACTCTGTGTTCTTGGCTTAGTCCCAGCTGGGGGAGAGGGGAGGGGACGGGCAGGACACTAGGCTGACTGATTGGCCAGGACATCGGGAGACAGCACGAGAGAACCTGAGCCCCTGCCCCCACCCCAGCCAGTCCTCAACCTTATTTGGGGAGGGGCGCCTCACAACCAACAATCCCTGGAAGACAGTGTCAGGCTCCAAGGGCAGAGGAGAGAACAGAGACAAGGACAGCAACAGAGACGGAGACAGAGAGTGGGGCCCTCCAGGCTGGGCTGCAGGACACATACTGTGCTTAGGAGTAGGCCAGTCCCTGTAGGGCCCCAGGGGGGGAATGGAACTTGTCCGAGTCCTCAAAAGCTGGGTCTGTGTCCAGAAGGAGGAGGATGGAGGGGGCAAGTAGAGGACAGAGGAGAGAAGCAGGGTGTCACAGCAGGGATCCAGGAGGGAAGGAAAGGGAAAGGCAAGAAGGAGAGATGGAGAAGGGCAAGATGAGTGGCCAGAGGGAGCAGCAGCTAAAAGCTGGCCCTCCCACTCCCATCACAGTTCCGTCCCTCCCTCTCCCAAAGTTCACTGCCCTGCCTTCACTGGGAATGAAATCAACCAAGGTTGGACCAATGCATTGCCCCAGGGGCACAGGCACTGGTCAGGGAGAACTCCCATGAGCCCTGGAGGTGTTTTTCCCACCTGGCCTCACCAGCAAGGCCCCTGGGTTCAAGAACAGGTCCATTGCAAGGGTTCCTCTGGGTCCTCCCCACCCCTGGCATGGAGAGGCCTGGCTCACTCAGGCTGTGAGTATCAAGGAACCTGCATTTTTCCCAGGCTGGGAACCAGGCATATTGGGCTTGAAGGGGTCTGGTGAAGGTGGTCTTACATCAGAAGGGGGAAGCAGCTGAGCAGACCAAGCCATCTTAGAACCCCCAGAGAGCTAGGCGCCTAGCATGCAGACCTCAACCCCACACATGCTACGCCCTCTCCAGATCGCCCTTACACAAGGAGAGTTATTCCTTGTGTCTAACAAAACCTCTCTTCTCATTTACCCTGAGATATAGCAAACAGTCGGAAATACTGAGACCCATCCCGTTCTCCAGGCCCTGTTCTCTGAAGTATTTAACATTTCTGTTCATCTCTTCTAGCCTCTGCAGTCTCTTCACATCCTACATGTGAAGATAGTAGTCAGACACAGGATCTTAAAAGGACTGTAGTTGAGTCTAAGGAAGGCCACCTAACTTTTCTTTTCTCCTGTTCTTACAGCCCTACTGGGGTCATTCCTGCTCCACTGCTGTGGGATGTCTCTGAGCCCCCAGTTCAACCTCAGGCCTTTCTGCCCATGTCCACTCTGAACTCTGTAACCCTCATCCCAATTCTGATCCAGCTTCTCTCTGACGTTCTCAGGGCACTGGGAAACCTCTTCATGGTCTGTTGTAGGGCCTTGCAGAAACATTCCTAAGTGTTTGTTGAATTGAATTATTTCTGCCCCTGCCTCCTCAGCTCAGTGTCATCTGTGGATCTGATGAACAGATTCTCTGATCCTTTTCCTAAGTCCCATCGTTGTGAACATGAATCAAATGGCTCTGGCTCCAGAACTGAGCCCTGGGGGGGACCTTCTGCGCCCAGTCCCAGGCTGACGCCAGACATCAAGGTCTCCCCTTCTAATCAACTGTGAGCCCCGCTCCCCCAATGTGACCCAAGTGCCATATGTTTCAAGATTGTGGGTGGAATCCAGACGCTGAATCACATCTGTTTTCCTCCCTTGTCTTCACAGCCCATCACTTTATATTAGTAATCACCCATATCTCTATAATGCTTTAAGGTTTACAAAGCGCTTGCCTCACAACAACCCTGTGAGGTAGGTCTTATCCCCAATGTTTAGTCCAACTGAGAATGAATGAAATGAGAAAACTCAAACCCAGCCAGTGCCAGAGCTGAGATATAAACCCAACGCTTCTTTCTCCAAGTCTCTTTCCATTGCCCCACCCCTGCTGCTGCTTGGAGAGGGGACTGGAGCTGACCCATCATCCAGGGCTTCTGTGAGGCTCAAACTGACCTAACATCTGGGAAAGCGCTTTGAAAAGCATAAAGGGCTATCCACATGAGAAGGACCATGGGAATTGACGTTATTCTCTCATACCCAGACTGCTGACCACCATTCTTTAGCAGGTGTTTGCTTAACCTGGGTAGTAGAGTTTGTGCTGTTGATGCCCCAGTTCATCCAAGATGGTCACTCAAATGTCATTACAGCTAGGGTTGCCCTTTGCAGGTCTTCATCCAACAGGAGTATGATCCAAGGTCTTGTCTAGCTAGGACTTAGGGCTCTGTTTTCTGGGCTGCTCTCAACCCTGGCCATTAACAGCCCTGAGCAGAGCACCTCCTTCCCCCTAGGACCTGGGAGCTGGCCTTCACGATGGCCACCCAGAACTGAAATGCCTGTCAACTCTGAGAAGCTGCAAGAGTCAATAATGACCTGCTGTTTAGATGGCCAACCAGTGGGTCAACAATCATTCACTCAACTATCATTTATAGGCACTTTTACTTCTCCCTTCTACCCCTGCCTACTGGTGGTGCAATACAACATGTTACCTAGAGACAAGGTGGGCTGAGGTAGGAACCTGGTCCCTGTCGACTTTAGTAGAAGCCAGCTGGCACCCACATTTTCATACCACTGATCATACCAGGGCTAGGAGAACAGTGAACCCACCCTGGTGAGCTGGTCACTGCCAAGGCCTTCAGTTGAGAACTGCCAGTCAACACCCTCAGCTAGCTCAGCTCTTTCTCCACCACGAATACCTTTTTTCGGTGGAATAGTAGCTGACTCACCTTGCAGGGCACTGCCATTAGTGCTGGTGCAGGCAGGGGGCGGGGAACCAGGTGGGCGCACCACAGGGGCGAAGGCGCTCTTCTGCTTGACGGCAGAGATCATGTTGACCGGCGAGAAGGAGAAGACGCTGGTGGTGGGGGCAGCGGCCGGGAGGGAGATGGAGGAAGCTGCAGCCAGCGGAGGGCTGGAGGGCATGACTCCGGGGTGGGGGTGGGGAGCAGGAGTGGCGCAGGAGACACAACAGGGAAACAGCACTATAGAGAGCGTCCAGGGTGGGAGCCTGCTGGGCACCTGCTGCTGCGGCCATCCCCCCACCCCGAGGTACCCCTGAGCTGGGGAGTGGAGAGGAAAGGTCTGCACCGCTGTGGGTTCAGTCCTAGGCTGAGGCAGGGGGAGAGCTGAACACTCTCTTGAGCAGTTAGGAAAATGAAGTGGACTTTCTAGGGCTTGGCAAAATCTGGAAGAGCCCTGATTTCCTAGGCCTGATCTGATGAGTCTCCTTAGGCTCTGCTGATAATCTCAGCAGCCAGACTCCTCTAACAATTGAGGGACACACGGTGGGATTAGTGATTTAGCCCTCATTTCTTGACAATAGCAGCTTGGCCCAGAAGAGGTTGTAGGAACCTCACCATGCTGAAGGACTGAGATCATGGATAGGCCTGAGTCCAGAGGGACGCAAAACTGGTCCAGGCTGGTGAGGTCTAGAGCAGCCTAAGTATTCCCAAGAAGGGGGCTAAGCACGAACAGGATGCTTTCCTAAAGCCTGATCTGAAAGAAGGCTGGGCTCAGGATGAGCTCAGGGTTGGAATCAGGATCAGGGATCTGGCCCGTGTGAACCAGTGGCTTTAAAGAAGAGAGAAGCTTGGGGTGAAGGAATGATCAGAAGGTGGCACTAGACAGGGTCGTTGTTGGGTTGAGGCACTAACAGGATTCTGAGCAGCTCATATATCAGAGGTTAGGAATGACAGAGTCAAGAGTCGGGGAAGAATCATGAACGCTTAGCATTCCAAGAGCCCTCGGAAGTCACCTCGGCCAGCCCCTACATAAGCATATACTTGACATATAGTCACCACTCTCTAAACAACTATAATTTTTAGGCCACTTTCCCTTATATTGCACAGAAATCTTCCCCTCTAGATGACCTCTCCCCCATCGTTTCTAGTTCTGCCCCTCTAGAGCTAAACAGAACATGTCCAGGCCCTTTCCCCTAGGAGGGCCCTTCAGACATCTGAAGGCAGTGCTCCAATTTCCTCCAAAACCTTTTCTTCAGGCTGAATGTTGCTGGTTCCTTCCCTGTTCTTCAGACACGGCTCACCATCTTGGTGGCTTCTCCCCACAGGCTCTGCTTTATCAATGTCCTCCTCCAAAGGCGACATACTCAGAACTGGGCACAGTGTCCCAGAAGCCCCTGGCTCTGCGTCCTGCAGATTTCAGTGGCCGGCCTATTGCCTCTCTCATCCCGGACTCTCTTCCTCTCTAAGCAGTCAGATCTGCTTCACTGGCTGCAGCATCCCATTGCTGATGCACTCAAGTCCCTGGGGCTTTTTCACTTGAACTGATGTTTAGCCATGCTTTCCCCCTTCAGCCAATCATGCGCTAGACGTCTCCACCTGGCAGGTCTGCCTGCAACTCCAACTCAACCCATGCAAACAGATCTCATCACACACACATACACTTCCCATCCTCCAAACGTCTGTTTTTTTCTTCCTTCTCAGTCACCCAGTTTTGTAACCTTGGAATCATACGTGACTCATTCCTCATTATCTGCTCACAGGGCCACCATCCTTCAGGCCCTCATCCAATCTAACCTGGGACTATTGGAATAAGCTAATAGGTCTCCCTGCTCCCAGTCTCCTCTCCAATCCACCCTCCACACAACCGCCAAAATAATCATCCTGAGGCGTAGATCTGACCACATCCTGATTGGCAAGGACCTCTATATCCAAATGGCTCTAGCTGTGCTTCACCTATCACCCTATCTTATAGCCAGTTTCACTACCACCACCATCACCACCTCATTCCAGTTCTGGAATCATAATTAAAACCAGTGGTGTTACTAGAAAGGGCATGTCAGTTTACACCATTATGGTCTACTCTCCAAACCAAAACATAGCTCCCTGGCTACCACTCCTTTCTAACAGTTGTTCCCCCCTCCTTAGAATGTGAGCTCTCTGAGAGCAGGCCTGCCTCCACTTTTGGATTTGTATCCCCACTGCTTACTTAATAAATGCTGTTTCCTTCATTCATGCCCATCCTCTGCTAAATTTTTTTTTCAATAACTCCCTCCTGCCTCTATGATAAAATACAACCCCTTCAGCATTTAAGTTACTGTATAATTAAGCTCCAACTTATCCTTCCAACCGTATCTCACTGTACTCCTCTTAATGTTCTAGCCAAACTGGAATAATAGCTGTTCCCCAAATGTTTGATATTCCATTTTCTGCCTCTATGTGTTCAACACAGACCATCTCCCATAGCTCGAAGATACGCCTTTCTCCCCTTCCTCCTTCAAGAGGAGATGTCACCTTTTTTTTCGAAGCTTTCCCTGTCTCCAATTGTTGGTGATCTCTGAGGTTTCAAATTACCATCTTCTTTCTTATCTAAGTAGATGATATATTCCAAGGGTGGGGAACCTGCAGCCTTAAGGCCACGTGTGGACCCCTGGTATACTCCTTCCCTTTCCCCAGAAGAATATATATACCTCTGGGGCAGGGACTAGTTCATAGCACTGCCCCTTGTATATAATAGGCACTTGATAAATAATTGGTGAATTGAATACTGTATTTGGACAGATGATTTTGTGAACCCTAAGTGTAAGACTTCACATTTATCCCAATTAAATTTCATTTTCTTGCATTCAGCCCATTACCCAACCCTGTCTGCATCCTGATTAAGTTACCCAATGTGGTAACTATCCCTCCCAGCTGCAAGCTATCTGAAAACTTGAAAGAACAGTTTGCCCATGCCTTCCTCTAAGTCACAGATGAAAATTTAAAACAGAAAGGAAGAGTCCTGGGGTAGACCGCTAATGACTTCCGTCCGGGTTGACATCAATTCATTTATCTGAACTCTGGATTCAGCCAGTTATGAATCTGGACAATTTTACATTTCTCTAACCTGGTCCACAAAGTTATCTTGAGAGGCTGTTAAATACTGAAATCCAGGTAAATTGTTATCTACAGCATCCTCCAAATCCACTGCACAAGGCAAAGAAGATAATGACTTTAGTTGGCCAGGATTTCTTCTTAACAAATCCATGCTGACTTGTCACATCTGAGCTGCCCTTTTCATGAATAATTCATGAATTATTCAACGAAGATAATATGACATTTTAGTACAAATTTTACTAAGAATCGACTGCTGGGTCATCAGCTCATGGTTTATAGGACTCCACTTTCCCCCTTTTTAAACAACATCAGATGTTTTTTGCCCTTCTCCAGCTCTCTGGAACTTCAGTTTGTGACCTCTCAAATATCACTGAGCTGACAGTATCTCGGACAGCTAGGTAGTACAGTGGATAGAGTGTTGGGCTTGGAGTCAGGAAGACTCATCTTCCTAAGTTCAAATCTGGCCTCAGACACTTACTAGCTGTGTGACCCTGGGCAAGTCACTTAACCCTGTTTGCCTCCATTTTCTCATCTGTAAAATGAGCTGGAGAAGGCAATGGCAAACCACTCCAGTATCTCTGCCAAGAAAACCCCAAATGGGATCACAAAGCGTCAGACGTGACTGAAAAATGACTGAAAAATTGGCAATATTTCAGCAATCACACCTGCAAATGATTCTACTACCCTAGGACCCAGTTCATGTCTCAGGAAGAGTCAGCACGTGCGGAGTGGAAAGAACCCTGGCCTTGGTGTCCAGAAGACCCATCTGCTACACTTACTCGTGGTATGGACTTGGGCAAATCATGTAACTGCTCTAAGCCTCAGTTGCCTCATATGTAAAATGAGGATAATACCTATAGTACCAATCCCAGGCTGTGCTGGAGCTGGCTCAGACTGCCTAGGAGCCAGTTGTTAAATTTTCAGTGTGACTATTTACACCTCAGAAAATGACAAATGCTACCAGACCAGGGCTTGATTTATTGTTCTATGGTCTTTAGACTTAGGAAAGTGAAAAGGGCAGCTAGGTGGTGCCATAGTGCATAGAGTGCTGGGCTTGGAGTCAAGCTCATCTTCCTGAGTTCAAATCCAGCCTCAGACACTTACTAGTTCTGTGACCCTGGGCAAGTCACTTAACCCTGTTTGCCTCCATTTTCTCATCTGTAAAATGATCTGGAGAAGGAAATGGCAAACCACTCCAGTATTTCTGTCAAGAAAATCCCAAATGGGGTCACAAAGAGTCAGACACGATTGAAAAACAACAACAAAAGGAAAACAATAGCAGAAAAATGTTAATAATACAGATTCAACTCAAAAGTGTGCAGTGGTCCATTTGCCCCCAAGAGAGCTGGTTGTTAAACATTTACTGATATCACCACATATGTTTGTCTCAATCATCAAAGAGATTACATAAAGTGCCTTACAAACCTGAAACCATTATATATGTCAGCTATTATTATAATTCATCCTGGTGAATTGAACGAGTTGAGGGCAGAGAGGTATGGCCTTACTACTTCCTCGATTATCTGGATTTCATTTCTCTTTGAATTACTTTTTCCTATCCTTTATATTCTGAAAATCATTCTCCTTGCCAGGGAATGCAAAAGTAAAATAGGAGTGGAATAATTCTGTCTTCTCTTTGCTGTCCTCTGTCTTTATCGCTTCACTAGGGCTATGTCTTCCTTGTTCATCCAAAGTTGCTTTAAAACATGTTGTCCATAGCATTTTTACTCACCTAAATCTCCACCTATTCCAGCCTTTGGATTTCCTTGGAGCTATTCTCACAAGACCATGACTCTGTTGTCTTTGTCCTTGGTTGTACAGGCTCAATTCCATTTTATCAGAAGCTCATAGAGGGAAGAGGCCTTAACGTGCAGGCCCCTCTTTCTAGAGATGAGGAAACCAAGACACAGAAAGGTTAAATGATTTGACCAAGGTCAGACTGTGTTGGAGGTAGGCTTTGAACACAGGTCTTCCTGACTCCAAGTCCAGTGCTCTGTTCACTTCAGGACCTTTTGAAATCTGAATCCATTGGATGACCACCCTGTGCAGTCACATGTATTCAGACAGCTCTCTCACCCTTTTTTCCCTCG